GTGTGTGTATTCATATATGCATACATACATACATACATACATACATACATGCATGCATACATATGATATAACAGGTCTAAAAGCAAATATTCAGCAAAATATTTGAAATATATAGAATTCGAGAGGAGAGGAGAGAGGAGAGAGGAGAGTCGAGACTCGAAACAGTCGACCACTCGACTGTCGATTGTCGAGGGTCGACAGTCGACTCAGTCGAGAACTCGAGACCACCTACTGAAATCTGATCCTGGACTATAGAGAATAGAGTAGAGACTCAAAGCCCCAGAGGCGTGATTCGTGAATCCTTTCGTTATCAACTTTTGTGAGAGTACATTTTTCTCGCAAAATGTGCTCTTTTAAAATAAAACATTCTTGTGGCTTTTGGATTGGATTTCTTTCCTGTGCCAACTTCTAAAAAAATATTACCAAAAACTAAAAAAGGTAATTACAGTGGTATTTTTAGTAGTATACTCAATATTTACTCTTTTTTTTTCAAATACAACTATACGTACATTTATATACATAGTGATATGTTTTCTTTCTTTATCTCGACAACTAAAAGCAATAAATATGGTGAAATGACAGGAGTGTGGACACTGGACACTGGACAGTTCAAACTTCAGTGACTTCAAGTTCACAGTATCCACACAGACAGAGTCCGATGACACACTCAGAGGCCAGAGGCCAATGACACACTCATCACACACTCAGCGACAGTCGACAGAGGCTCAGAACTCAAAAGTCAGTGATCAGAGTCGAATGATTCCGATGTGTTCTCTGCTTGTTGAGTGCTGAATGCTGACGCCTGACGGGCTGACGGCTGCCCCTGAGCCTGCCTGAGGCCTGAGCCCAGAGCTGAGACTTTAGACTTTAGACTTTAGAGTTTACACTTTAGAGGTCCTGACGCAGACAGTGCTGACTGCTGAGTGAGTGCTGACTGCTGACTGCTGAGTGAGTGCTGACTGCTGACTGCTGACAGTGCTGACTTCGAGTCGAGAACCCGAGAGTCCAGTGTCGAGACTCGCGCGAGAGAGAACAATAGTGGTCTATTTATAGTTTACTCTCTTTAGAGAGAGAGTGATCGCTGATAAGAGTCAGTCAGAGAGGACTGACAGTAAATACCAGGGTTGTTAAACGGACAAATAGACTAGACTGTCCAGGGGGGGAAAGGCTGTCCATGGTATTATGACCTGTTTTTGAGTCTGTCCATGTGTCCCATTCGAAAAAGACCTGTTGTCCACTGGTAAATTGAAAATCGCCTGGTACAAATTGACTCAAACCATTTGTCCATTTCAAGATTGATGCCTGTCCGTTTGTTTAGTCCGTATAATGCCCTTTGTCCGGCTGTCCGTAAATGCCAATGGTTGTCCGGACAGGGCTTTTCTTGTCCGTTTAACAACCCTGGTAAATACTGTGTACAAGTATGGCGTATGCTTAGGCAAATTTGTAAAACCGCAACGGCTCACCGTAGGATTAAAATGTGATTGTTTTTAACCTGCATGAAGTTCGTATTATTCGGTTATTGTTATTCTGAATAGAAGTTGAACGGAAACGCATATAAATTTATTCAATTTATATCTGGGTTTCATCGTTAAAAAGGGATCTAAAGTCTAAACTCTTGAGTGGTAGACCTAACAAAAGTGTCAATTTTGCACTCGTTGTGGTATACAATTAATAGTTAATACACCTGTTTCTGAAACGATGGACTATATAGACGGTCGTTTTGGCGTAGAATATCGAATATAATTAGAACAATATTGATTACATAGGGCTATACATAATATAAAAGTTGTACGGAAACAGCACTTGACCGTGGAGTCGTGGACACGGGTGTCAGCAGTCAACGACCAACAATGCGGTCTACAGAGTATATATCACCTCTTAAACAATGAACGCTGATTCAATTGGTCACAGTCTAAATAATACCCAACGCTTCTTAAAAATATATATATTGTCTGCAATTTATTTTTTCTCCGCTTGTTTATTCATTCTGGTTAGCTATAGGTATTTATGTAAATATTTAGGTCCTCAAACCGTGAAGATGAAAAGAATAAAAGTTAAAACTCAGCAGTCAGCACTCAGCACGACTGCAAGTCTGCGCGAGCCACGACAGCCCTGGACCGTGGAGTCATGGACACGGGTGTCAGCAGTCAACGATCAACAATGTGGTCTACAGAGTATATTTCAGCTCTTAAACAATGAACGCTGATTCAACTGGACACATTGTAAATAATGCCCAACGCTGCTTTAGATATATATTGTCTGCACTGACTCTGTACTCTGTACTCTGTCAGTCTGTCACCTTCAGGCTCTAAGGCTGTAAAAGGCGCTATTTCTATTTTCAGAAGAAGGCTATGACAGTTATTATCACTGAAAGCGTTAGCTAGAAGTCCCTTCCAAACTTTATTGCTGGGGTTTGTGTCACGGGTTTTGACCAAATATGGTGGTCGTTTTTAACAGTATCGTATCGCGTTTAAAACGGGACAGCAGGTGGAATGAAAGCGTTGGATCGGACAAAGCAACCCCCCCCCCCACGCCCCCCTCCAAATTTTACGAATCCGGCGAGGACGATTAACGTTAAGAATTTAACGATTGACGTCAACGTTAAGAATTTAACGATTAACGTCCAAACCCCCCCCCCCAACCCGGCGCCTCAGTTCATTAAATAGATATTCAGTTGTGCCGGTTAAATTTTACGAATCCGCCGGGGACGATTAACGCTTAGAATTTAACAATTAACGTACAGAAAGAATTTAATTTAAAACGATTAACGTACACATAGAATAAGTCCAGGAAACATTACTTTTACTAAACGTATGCCACCCATCCGTTTCTTCCCTCCCTTTCTACGCTTTCACGTCCCCACGTGTCGGAGTCATGTTTTATTTACAACAACAATTTCTTCAAAATATGCAAATAGGGTTACAGACTTTAGTCTTTAGTCCGGTCCGTTGTGGTATATTTTTAATCTCTAGAGGGTCTTGAATATGTATTCATATTTATTTTTTATATCTATAAAAATTAAAAATAGCCCTCTAAAATAATACATATTTATAGAATGCTAAATACATATGAAATATTTACCTAATTTTAAAAATATTTGTATTTTTTTATTAAATAGAAATATATCCTCATTCCGCTTAAGGATGTGATTTTTACATATTTAGCCCTCTGAACTTCTGAAGAAGTCTGAGCGGTAGTCATGTTTCTCATTTGTTTAGTTTTTCAAAAAGCAAAACAAATCTCTGTACGACACCCTTTTGTTTTTTTTAAAACAAATATTTATCTAAATATATTATCCAGAGACCAGACTCCAGAGGCAGAGGCCAGAGGGCCATGATAAATATCTGTAGATATGTACATATTTATATTGTCTATTATTCAAATATGTTTGTTTTTTTTTTGCAAAACAATAAAAACATTATGCAAATTTATTATATATCTTTTTTTAAAACAAACAAAACAAACAACAACAAAACAAACATTCTTTCCTTTTTTTTTTTCGTTTGTTTTCTTTAACGAAACAAACATACAAAATAAGGAATATCATAGCCTTCTGAAAATTCAAAATTGAACATTGAACAAACAATATTTTTATAATATATATATATATATATATATATATAAACAGTCGGGGAAACGTCGATACGAGATCATATTTTTCGACCACACCCGAGTTTATGAGCCTGTTTTTTCGTGGGTTGTAAGTGTTGGTCTACTACAGTCCGCAGATTGCAACATGACATCGCACCCGAATCCAAGTATATTGCAAACAATCGAAGATATGCAAGCCGAAACAAAGAAGGTATCTGGATTCCGCCTGGTGTCCCAACCTGCAATCAATTTAGAAGTTGACTCGGATGTCGGTGCCGATCGAAGGGGGAGCGGGTGCAGTGAAGCTGATTCGTTTCGAAGAGATGGGCCGATTTCAGTACAAATGAATACCAAGGGCCCTACAAAACAGAATGACTCAAAACTAGTATGGTATCAAATACGGGAGGCATTGCATCGAGTGAGCAATTCTGGGCGGATTTCTGGTCAAGAATTCACTATAATTAATGGTTGGGGAGGTCTGCTTGCCGTCATTACACATGTTGCTATATTTGCGACGCTATTTGTGCTATCATACCGGGGGACCAAATACTCAGATCCGGCCGCCGATAAGAAGACAGCCATAGCATGCGTAGTATTCTCATGGTTTCTGTGTGTTTTCGAAGTGGTAATGATAGGCGGGTACTGTTTGTTCCGCATGGATCATCCTCTGGTTCGTAGCAGAGGATATATTTATATTGGATTGAGTACCCTGGGGCTGTTCGGAAGTTCGACATTTTTTTGTCTCGACGCTTTGATCGAACTTGGAATCATACAAACAAGTACAATCGTTTATGTTCTTCTGCTAATTCTGGCCGAGTCGTGCGCTATTTTAGTTAGTGGCGCACAGGCAGCGCGGCAGCGGTTGCTGTATATATTATTTGAGGCCAAGACGCAGCCTTCAAAAGGAGTGTATAGGTGGACATATGCAAGTATTTTTTCTTGGATTGTGCTCATCGCAACCACCCTAGCAGTACTTGGGCTGCTTGAGATAGTCAAGTACCACTTAGCAATTGATCTCGTAGTCAATATTGGTGTGTTATGCCCGGCATTTGCCATTCTGAGATACACATACCTGTCAAGAAATGTTGCCCTGGCCTTTAGCGATTGGCAGCGAGCTGTCGCCGTAAGTGTGATCGTTGCCGTCCTATCAGTATCGATATCGATACTGCACGCAACGTTGTTCCACTGTTCGACGCCAAGCAAACTTACATCATATGGGCGTACTTTCACGGTTCTATATGTGATCCAGTTCTCAGTATGCATCTGTACATTAATATTATTTGGCCAAATTGCAGGCGTTGTATACTTCGGGCTATGTAGCGGCCGTGATTTGGATCCTAAGAGTGTTTTTCTCAACAGTCAGCCATTGGGTAAAGCGACTACTGTGTATAGCGCCCAAGGCGGAGTTGAAGGTCGTCTAGCTCGTTCCTCATCTATGATTGAGTCATTTCCTTGTCCAGCCACGTCCTCAGTGACAATAGACTCTTATCTTCTTTCAGCCTTACCAGCGACGACAGATACAAACATTCATCCCGCCGCATCCACAGCGGCAACGAGAATCTAACTAGAAACTCGGGCCATTGGACTTGCACCCGCCTAACTTGAATCCCCAGGTGTTTGATTTGCTGACAGTGTCGAGAGGTTGTGCCACTATAATTGGTCTGACCGTAGTACAAAATTGCCAAATCACAGAGTTAAAATCACACATGACGAAATTGCAGCAGTATATTTCAGAACACCTGCACCTTTGCAATGTGAACACCCACGTTATTAATAGTCTGTGTATGCGCAAATACACTACTCTGATATTCGGAATATTCGATGATAAGTATTAAACAGGTCTTTATTCGAAAAGACTGAAACTATAAAATTGTCCGAGTGATATCCTCTTATGTGAATGTGTACTTACAAGCTTCTGTAGGTCACTATGGAACCTGTTGGAACAAACACAGACCGCAACGAGAATGTGACCTTGTGTTCTTGAATATACATTGAAGTGGACTGTGGTTACATACGCACATATACCACCTATCATAGCCACTAGCATTTCTTGAATGGGGTCAAGTACGGGGCAGTTTGTACCTTCTAGACTTTTAAAACCGAGTACTGAAGGAAAGCTCTAAGAACCTTGTACATACAGATGCATTCGCAACTGAACAGAATCTAATGCAAGCGGGTTGCTTCTTTCTGATTTAGTAAGGGCAATATCATGCGTATACCTATCTATGAGTATTGGTTAACAACCGGAAGGTTGTTTGTTAATCTATTCCTCGTAGATCATCTGTACGTAGCAGGGTATATATTTATTTGTACTACTGCGCTCAATACCCAAAGATAGGAGCGCTAACTAGCACTACTTGTAGCACTCGGATCGGCTTTAGGAGTCATACAAACAAATACAATCGTCCTCGTTCTCCTGCTGGTCGAGGCTGAACGGAAAGCCATTCAGGTCATCTGCGACGCATAGACGACACATCATTGCGTGATGCACATACTATTTGAGGTGAATTCATCGCCTTCGAATGGGTAGTATGGATGTACTCACAGCAATAGCAGTTTCGATTGGCCTCGTGGCCATAGGGTCATAGCGTTAATCGTATCGTTACATTGCTATATATCGTACATAAACATTACACTATGCAATAGACACGTGTGTATTGAGTGACCGATTTTATTTGGTTAATTTGCCAGGGTAGAATATACTTTGTACTCACCAGCAGCTCGGTATTAAATCCCACGTGTGTCGCCTTAAAGAGTCAGTCTGGGGGCGAACTATTGTTGCGTGCTGTGCTAAAGCCGGACCTAGGGGGTGTACAACCCATCATATGCAAACCCAGATACAAAGCTTTAGCCTTCGCCAGGGCTAGTAGAACCACACCTATACTGCACGCCACGATGTGCACATAATGACTGGAAGAAGAAGCCGTAGGCGATCATCTCTGGTGACAAGTATATTATGCGACCGATGGCTTGAATTTGGAAATCATCTCATATACGGCGAAGACAGAGTCGCACTACACTCGCCATGAGGATACCATCTGATTTGTTAACCATACAATGCTGTCGTACACTCACACACACAATTTGTCTCAGATAACAACTAGATAGTGTAATGGACTCCTCAGGCTCGGCTTGTAGAGAACTTTTTTTTTCCCATGGCATTTTAGACTCCGTTGAAGAAGTAATATCGATGGATTCCTTCCCAGATAAACCAAGTGCCGGATCTACGGGTCGCTCGCATTGGCATCACTAAAACAGCATGACGAAAGAAACGCCGCTGCAATGGACCATGACCACATATGAGGGCTAGCAATGGTGCAGTACAGTTTCTATTGAAGGAGGATAGGTAACTATTGAGTACCACAGTCTATATTCTAAGTGCTGTTCGAGATACGAAAAGCTTTGGGATATACGTTGAAGATGATGAGTCCGTCAACATACAAAATACACAACCAAGGAGCCTGAATAAACCAACACCTCATATATATCTACAACCATATATATGTATATGTATATATATATATATATATATATATATATATATATATATATATATATATATATATATACTATACTACTACTACTACTACGTACGTACGTAACG